GAGTGTTTCCTTGTTATAGTCGCGGGTTCCGCCCTCTAATGACTTTAAGGTGGGCATGAAGCTAGAGGCGCGAGACCCGCGTAACTCCACCTCCACCTGCATCGCCACGGTGATGGGCTTGATGGGCGCTAGGCTCCGCCTTCGTCTGGACGGCAGCGACAACACCAACGACTTCTGGCGACTGGTCGACTCGGCTGACATCCAGCCAATCGGGACCTGCGAGAAGAACGGAGACATGCTACAGCCGCCGCTAGGTATGGTGATGATGTCACTTCCTGTGGAGAGTGTACAGTTACTGCGACCACATCTCTATACCTATATAAAAGATCACAGTTCACTCTCCATTAGTGTTTTAGACTGAGTGTACAGATAAAAACAATAATAATAATATAACGATGTCCCACAGGCTTCCGCATGAACGCCTCCTCCTGGCCCATGTTCCTCCTCAGGACCCTGAACGGAGCCGAAATGGCCCCTGCCATGGCCTTCAAGAAGGTGTGTGTGTGTGTTAGTATGAGTGTGTGTTTGGGTGTTTGTATATCTCCTCTGAGCGCTGATGTGTGCATGTGTGTGCGTGCAGGAGCCGCTCCGTCCACTGCAGAACACCTTCCGTGCGGGGCTAAAGCTGGAGGCGGTGGACCGGAAGAACCCGTACCTGATTTGCCCCGCCACCGTGGGCGAGGTGAAGGGCGAGGAGCTGTTCGTGATGTTCGACGGCTGGAGGGGAGCGTTCGACTACTGGTGCCGCTACGACTCCAGAGACCTGTTTCCTGTGGGCTGGTGTAGCGCCACGCAACACGGCCTGCAGCCACCCGGGAACAGCCGTGAGTTGGTCTATAATAACACATAGATCTACAGCTGAGAGTCGCTCTATAATAACACATACATTTACAGCTGAGAGTCGCTCTATAATAACACATACATCTGCAGCTGAGAGTCTCTCTATAATAACACATACATCTACAGCTGAGAGTCGCTCTATAATAACACATACATTTACAGCTGAGAGTCGCTCTATAATAACACATACATCTGCAGCTGAGAGTCTCTCTATAATAACACATAGATCTACAGCTGAGAGTCGCTCTATAATAACACATACATTTACAGCTGAGAGTCGCTCTATAATAACACATACATCTGCAGCTGAGAGTCTCTCTATAATAACACATAGATCTACAGCTGAGAGTCTCTCTATAATAACACATACATCTGCAGCTGAGAGTCGCTCTATAATAACACATACATCTACAGCTGAGAGTCGCTCTATAATAACACATACATCTGCAGCTGAGAGTCGCTCTATAATAACACATACATCTACAGCTGAGAGTCGCTCTATAATAACACATACATCTGCAGCTGAGAGTCGCTCTATAATAACACATAGATCTGCAGCTGAGAGTCGCTCTATAATAACACATACATCTAAAGCTGAGAGTCGCTCTATAATAACACATACATCTACAGCTGAGAGTCGCTCTATAATAACACATACATCTGCAGCTGAGAGTCGCTCTATAATAACACATACATCTACAGCTGAGAGTCGCTCTATAATAACACATACATCTACAGCTGAGAGTCGCTCTATAATAACACATACATCTGCAGCTGAGAGTCGCTCTATAATAACACATACATTTACAGCTGAGAGTCGCTCTATAATAACACATACATCTAAAGCTGAGAGTCGCTCTATAATAACACATACATCTGCAGCTGAGAGTCGCTCTATAATAACACATACATCTGCAGCTGAGAGTCTCTCTATAATAACACATAGATCTACAGCTGAGAGTCGCTCTATAATAACACATACATCTACAGCTGAGAGTCGCTCTATAATAACACATACATCTGCAGCTGAGAGTCGCTCTATAATAACACATACATCTACAGCTGAGAGTCGCTCTATAATAACACATACATCTGCAGCTGAGAGTCGCTCTATAATAACACATACATCTACAGCTGAGAGTCGCTCTATAATAACACATACATCTGCAGCTGAGAGTCTCTCTATAATAACACATACATCTACAGCTGAGAGTCGCTCTATAATAACACATACATCTGTAGCTGAGAGTCGCTCTATAATAACACATAGATCTACAGCTGAGAGTCGCTCTATAATAACACATACATCTGCAGCTGAGAGTCTCTCTATAATAACACATAGATCTGCAGCTGAGAGTCGCTCTATAATAACACATAGATCTACAGCTGAGAGTCGCTCTATAATAACACATAGATCTACAGCTGAGAGTCGCTCTATAATAACACATACATCTGCAGCTGAGAGTCTCTCTATAATAACACATAGATCTACAGCTGAGAGTCGCTCTATAATAACACATAGATCTACAGCTGAGAGTCGCTCTATAATAACACATAGATCTACAGCTGAGAGTCGCTCTATAATAACACATACATCTGCAGCTGAGAGTCGCTCTATAATAACACATACATCTGCAGCTGAGAGTCGCTCTATAATAACACATACATCTGCAGCTGAGAGTCGCTCTATAATAACACATACATCTACAGCTGAGAGTCGCTCTATAATAACACATACATCTGCAGGTACTTCACTGGTGTGTGTTTGTTTATTATGGCACTTATGTGCGTTCCTGATTATACTGATGTGTGTGTGTGTTTGTGTGTGTGTGCAGTTGGTCTCCCTAAAGCGGCTCCTGCCTCCTCCTCTTCCTCTTCGGTTCCTAAACTCTCCCGCCGCTCTGTGCTGCCCCCCCTGCGGCTGCCTGCTGCTGTGCCTGCGCTGCCAGTGCGGAAGGGCATCAGGGGCCGCCGCCCGAAGAGTGAGACCCTCGCTCTGCTGAAGGCCCTCACAGCGCCTGGGGCCCAAAGCCCACAGGAACTGCAAGACACACCCCTATCCCAGCAGCCCCTGCGCACACACAGGAGGAGGGGGCCCAAACGGGGAGCAAGGTATTGTTTTACACACACACAAACACACACACACACACACAGCATGGACCATCTTCTGGAGAATACTGATGCAGTGTGTGTGTGTGTGTAAAATCGGCGGGTATGTGTTATCTTTGTGTGTGTGTGTGTGTATCTGTTATCTGTGTGTGTGTTCACCAGAAGAAGCCCAGACTCCAGCAGAGCTCCACAGCTGCAGAAGATGACAGAATACCCATAATGCCTAGTGACGGCCTCTCCCCGCTGGCCTGCTCCTCGTCTGTGGTGTCCACCGGTATATACAACACCATACACACCATAATCAGACTAAACAACGGAAAAGCGACACCATACACACCATAATCAGACTGAATAACAAGTATGTCTGCTCTGTCCATCAGTGTGTGTGTACGTGAACAAGCATGGGAACTGTGGGCCGCATCTGGACCGTAAGCAGCTTCAGAAACTGCCGGACCACTTCGG